GTCAGTTTTTAGCTGCTGTTAAGCTATCAACTTTGATGGATCAGCTTGAATCTCATGTGAGATCTCAAGGTAATAAACTTATGTTTGATAGTCGAACAAAGAATCCTTTTATAGAGAAAAATATTCAACATAATCAAGTTCATAGGAAAGATTACTTATTAGGTAAATATTTAATAGAGTTTATGTATGAAAAAGAATTAATTGATGTGTCATCAACACCAGAGATGAAAAAAGAGAAACATAATATTCCATCATCATCTTCATCTTCATCTAAAATTCATTATTTTCAGAAAAAGGGTTGTTATGTTGTTTGTAATTTTGATTTATCACTCCTTCCAGTGAAATTCAATCTTCCTATGATTTATCCTCCTGTAGAGTGGTCCTCTATTTATAGGGATAAAGATCCTTCTACGTTGTCTGAAATACAGGGGGGTTATCTAGCCTCAAGTAATACTGATATGTATAATACATTTCATTTACTAACTTCTCGTAATCTTAACAATTTCTATATCAAGTTGAAATCTCCACGAGACTTGTGCAATATTTTGAATCAACTTCAGAAACAAGTCTTTGGAATAAACAAAGAATTATTCCAATTTATCAAAAATAATCGACCTACATTAGAGAAAGTGGGCCTCCTTTTGAATAAAAGATATTCAAATGTGAATATCAAAGTAGCATGTGATATATTGAGGGAATACTACAATAATAGTAGTGAAGATGTTAAGTCCTTTTTTCGTTTAAACTTTTTGTTAAGTGAATTCCTTAAGAGGCTTCAGAAAGCTAGGTATGAAGTATTCGTAATTGAATTAGCTGAGGTATACTCCAATTTTAAATTCTATCTTCCTGCGTTCATGGACTTCCGTGGTAGAATCTACCGCACTGGTGTATTACATTTTCATGAGCGTGATTTGTCTAAAAGTTTGATTCAATTTGATGGGGATATCTATCCTATAGATAATTTGAATGATTTTATGGGTCTAAGATATAGATTAGCAACAGCAGCAGCCTTAAAGTATAAGAAATTTTCCACGTATGATAAAGCTTTCTCTTGGTATAATAGTATCTATGCTCTTCTAATTCGTAATGACGAAGATCTCATTAATTTTACTGTCACTGGTGCTAGTGACCCTTTTCAGTTCATATCTAAAGTTCTATCTTGCGATAGAGTGAAGGATGATGAGGAAAGACTGTTAATATTGAATAAAGTCCCCGTGAGTCATGATGCCTCTGCAAGTGCTTATCAAATCATGAGTTATCTTTTACTTAACCTTGAAATGGCTTCGCTAACTAATCTTATCCCTGCTGAGAATGGTGAAATTCAAGATTTATATCTCAGTTTGCTAACTGAGCTTAAGTCTATCTTGCGAATAGAGTTTGATAAAAAGAAATCCTATATTATAGAATCTAGGTTCTCGCGAAAGCTCGTCAAGAAACTCTTTATGCCATTGATATATGGTAAGACCCTAATAACCATGGTTAGTGATATTCGTGATGTTTATGGTTCATTACTAAGTAATGACGATATCTTTACTCTAGCAAAAGTTTGCAATGAGTTTTATAAAAATAAATATCCAGAAATTGTGAATTTAATGAGAATGATTAACCTAATAGGTTGGTTTTGTTCTTACTTAGATAAACCAGTCAAATATAGTATTGAATACTACACAACTGTGCAGGATTATATGCGTAGCAATAAAGTAGTGATCTCTGTATATAATACTCAAACCAAGAGTAGACATCGGGTGACTCTCAGAGTTCCAACTACTGATAGGGATAAGCGGAAGACTAAAGTCTCAACCTGTGCGAACTTTATTCATCAGAAGGATGCATTTATTGCTATGAAAGTGGTGGAGAATTTGAATATTATTAATAATAATCTTCCTATCTATACAGTCCACGATAATTTCATTACCACAACTGTTTTGACAGATATAATTCCATCATTATATATTGGTGCTTTTCTTTCTTTGGATAATCCACTTGAAATAATGAATTCATTCATTCTTGACAATCTGAGTAAAGATGGGGACTCGCACGCAATAAATAGAGCTGACCCTATTCCTAGTAGTGTACTAGAAGACCTTTTAAGATCTCAGCTGTTTCCAGAAAAATTGTTTCAAAAGGAAACCAAAAAGGATATCAAATTGAATAATCATATAGATGAACTAGTGAGTTGTTACGATCAATATATAAGAGCGATTGGTGATCTAGAACATGAATTGCGCTGCGGATCCTTTAAAGCTAAGATGAAAGAATGGTATGATTTATAAGATCAGTATTGTCTTCACTACTAGGATTCCTATGAATATCCCACATTTAATATGGATAGACAAAGTGAAATTTATACCTTCTGTGGGATCTACTGCTTCTTATTGTTCAGTTGTTGAAAGGGATTCTGTCTTGTCTTCGAGTATGTCCACCTGCCATAGGAGAATTTCTGAGGAGAGCTGTAGAGATCTTTATGCTGGATTGAGATTCATTGAGGTGAGCTTCAATAAGCCTTACCTTAAATGTGGTGATACCGAACTGATCACAATGATTGTAATGTTTCTACTACATAAGTATGTCTACAGCAGCACAACCTTTTCCAGCGGTAAGTTTACTGTGGGTTACAGAATGAAGATCCCTAGAGGTATAGTTCCCTTTACAATTGGACCAGCTATCCCTTTATATGAGTGTCCTAACTCGAACACATATACGGAGCTCTGTAAGAGTATTAACAAAAAAGGGGAGGATTACGAAAAAGAAGTGATAACAGGTCTATTTATTAGGGTCTACCTTAGCAAGGTACAGCACAAAGAGTTGACTCTGAGCTCGGATGAGCTAGATAGGAAGGTAATCGAATTGGTGAAGGCGGGTCTCATCTCTGGTTGTGAAGAAGAATTGGCTGTTGAAGCCATAAGTGGGAGTCATAAGCGTTCCAAATCTCTAACATCTCTTCAAGTGAAGAGAAAGGAAAGGAAGTCCTTCATTGTTGCCGATACTGAGACCCTCTTCTTAGATAAGATCCATGTACCTTACGCTGCTGGTTTCTTGCTGGTTCACCCTGGTGAAGGAGTCTCTTCCGAGCATCTTTCTAAAGTGGAAAGGTACTTCACAGAAGATTACTCTCTAATAATTGATGATTTCGAAAATCAGAGTAATAAGATGCTCTTTGACTTTATAGAGCGTTTAGCTGTTGTAGCAGCTCGAAACAATGTTCAAACCGTCTACTTCCACAACTTAGGACGATTCGATGGGATTATCTTAATGAAGTATTTTGTTCATAGGTCAACGTACAGCATCAAGCCACTGATGAGGAATAACAAGCTCTACGAGTTGGTTGTCTCTCGTGGGAAGAAGGTGGTCTTCCGTCTAAAGGATTCTATAAACCTTCTCTCCGGTTCTCTTAACTCCTTAGCTAAGACCTTGTGCCCAGAATTGGGTTCTAAGGGCAGTATTCCAATCAAATATGAAGATGTAGATGTGCCTGCTTTGAAGCAGTATGGTTCCGAATTGATGGAATACCTGAAACAGGACATCCTTCTCTTAGGTGGGATTATGCACAAGGCCCAAGAGATCAACTGGACTGATTACCAGATTGATATCGAGGACTGCTTGACAGTCTCAGCCCTTGCAATGAAGATCTTTCGAACGTGTTATTACGATCCAAATACCTTCCCGATCCATCTACCCGGCAAGAATGAGGATAAATTCATTCGGAGGGGTTACTATGGTGGCCATGCTGATACGTATAAGCCATATGGTGAAAATCTATATCACTATGACGTGAACTCCCTGTATCCACATATTATGGCATCTAAACCGATGCCTGGGGGTGTCCCAGTCTGGAAAAGGGATCTTCGAGACCAGGACTTGGACAGCTTGTATGGATTCATTGAGGCCTATGTTGTCTGCCCTCCAACCATGAAGAAACCATTCCTGCCCTATAAGGAGCATGAGAGACTGCTCTTCCCAACAGGTAGATTCATAGGTGTCTACTTTAGCGAAGAACTCAAGTATGCCCGCAATCTGGGGTACAAGATCCTACCCCTCAAGGGATACCTCTTTGAGGAGAAAGCGTCTCCATTCGGTGGTTTTGTCCATAACCACTACGAGAAGAGACTGGAGGCAAAGAAGAGCTCACATGATGGGTTGTCTTATGTCTACAAGATACTCATGAACTCTCTCTATGGCCGATTTGGCATCAATCCAGAAAGTAAAATAACTGAGATCTGTCACAAAGACAATATTGAGTCAATGTACAATCGTTGTGGCTTTCACAGTGCGGATCCACTGACGGATGATTACTTAATGGTTCATTTCGTGAGCAACCACCCCGATGCCCCTGACTATGAATGGCATCCACCTAGGATCTCGGCAGTTCAGCTCTCTGCTGCTATTACTGCCTATGCTCGGATCCATATGTACAAATACATCTCAAGAGAGGACTGCTACTACACCGATACTGACTCTGCCTTCCTTGGGAGTCCACTGCCGGAAGAGGAGATCTCATCCACCGTCTTGGGCAAGCTCAAGCTGGAGCATATAGTTCAGGAAGGGTACTTTGTCGCTCCGAAAAGTTATGGTTTAAAGACCAAAGACAATGTAGAGATTGTGAAGCAAAAGGGTGCTGCAAAAAACTATGTGGACTTCGAATGGTTTAAACAACTATACGCTAATCCCTCTCTAAAGAAAGATGTCACCGTTGAATCACTCTTCAACGTGAATCTGAGTGATCTTCAAGTCGAACAAAGGGAATCTCTGCATCAACTAGGAATCAATCTCAACAACCCAAAAAGGGATCTCATCTTTGATGAGGATCATGTATGGGTAGACACCAAACCAAAACTCATTACTGACATCAAGGGCTATGAAGCAGTTATTTACTATTTTGATATCCTCAGATTACAGGATCAAATGAAGGAAAAAGAAGAGGTAATAGGAAGTTTGCTTCAGGAGAAGTATGATCTTCTCAGCAAAGAACATGCAAGTATGCATTCAGAGATAGATCCTAATCATCCAGATGAGACTACACAACCAAACCTCAACAACAACCCTACAGCAGATATCTCACTCGAAAGCCCCTCGAGGACAGTTGAATATAAACTGTTGCCAACGAAAGACAATTTGCTAAAGGAAAAAGGGAGCAAACCAGTTCAAGGATCACCAGTTCAAGGATCACCAGAAGATTGGACACATGCAGCTCAAGAGAACAAGAAAGAAAAGAAGAAAAAACCTCCTTAAACTAAAGCAATTACAAAAGCACTTACTCAAGCTTTAACATAAGGAACTGAATACCCACACTCGAGGAACAGGCCCAGAGGCTCATAGTCGCACACCAACTAAACTAAGGCAGCTATTGAGGAAGAAGGAGAGGCTAATTTGTTTGATTTTATGCCTGAATTGGGTGCCTCTAGATCAAAATCAAATAGGGCAGAAAGCAGGGTGATCCCTTAAGTGCGATGTTAGCTCGATAAGGTAGGCTGCTTCCCCTTCCCTCCATTGAAGACAGGACTGGTCCAAGCTCCTTTCCTTTCCAATATGAATATGAGCTCCCCGAGTGCTCTCTTCCTGGCTTTAGGATGTAATGATCTACGTTCCTCCCTCAGGGAGTGACTTTGTTAATTGGAATATGCCTCATATCTTAAGTTGACTGGTAGCTCTTTAAAGGGAGGATGCTTTCCCCAACCCTGGGGCTAGCTCCCTAAAAGAGGGATTGGCGAAGACATGATCAACAATTAAAGTCGGCTAATTCATCTTTCCTTCAGAGCGCTGTCCCTTGTTTTGGTGAGTTCAGTTTTGTTGCTACCATAAGTGTCATCTAGTCGCACGTACCACCCGCCTTCCTTCCCCCAGCAGGCAAGAAGACTGGGAGGAAGACGATCAGGATCTCACGTGTGGCAGCTCCATAACCACTGGGGGGTCGTCATATGTTTTAGGTGGGGTTTTCTGAAAGAGTGCCCTTTCCCCAGCCTCCAATTGAATTGGGTCAGAACAGAGGACTAATCTCACTAGAATGGAATTGCAGTCCGCCCTGGCCTCCACTTAGTGGGTTTCGCCTCAAAACCAAAGGGAATAGCAGAATAGAGACAAGTTCCGCTGTGAATGAAGTCTACGTTCCGTAGACTAAACTTCACGGTTATGGATACGAGTTCCAAAGGCTCCACCAAGCCTTCTCTTAGGCTATAGCTCGTTCATAAATTCACTCGACCACTCAGACTTAACGAGGAATTCCACATAGACTTGACGAGAACTTGTTAGACGAGTTCCGTTGCATTGCAAGAAATCATTCCCGCCATTCTCCCTTCCAGTGAACTCCACGTGTCTGCTCCGGCTACGAAGCGGTGGAGAAGAGTTCCGAAGTACACTTGTTGTTTCGACTTCATTCATACACTTGTCAGCCTTCATCACCGCTGCTTTGGCGACCCGACTGAACGAATGCGGTGACGCGACTTGTGTAGCGAGTCCGCAGTGAAACCTGTCAAGTTTAGTCTATGAATCCCCCTCCTAGTAGGGGGGACGTTCTCAATTCAAAGTGGACTTTCTTTTGGGCAAAGCCTAGACCAAAGGTGCCTAATAGCGTAGGGAAACTAATCGGGTAGCGAATCCCATCCTCAGCTAAACCAAGCCCCGGGTGGTAGCCTAATCGAAGAAGTTGAGCTTGTGCCCAAGCCCGCCTTTTTATAAAATCTCAACGTGGGATAGAGGAGGTTTGGAACCCTCATCGCGAATTTCATATGGGATATCCACAAAGGATACCAAGGATGGTCGTGGATCAATACAGGATCGAGAAGAAGAGCCCAACATATAATAAAGTCTTGAATGAAGCTTGGGTTGACGGGGTTTTCTTTACTAGTGAACCAATCTTGGGAGTAAAGCATGATATGATGCATTCTTCCTCAACATCAAGTTCACCAACTACAGTGATAATGGTTCCGTTCATGGGAAACTTGATACTGATATGATATGAGGATACCACAACCAAGTTGGCGTGGATCCAAGGTCGTGCTAGCAACATTTTCTATTTTTTGGATAGTATATCCGCTACATGGAATAGAGTTGACCGAACAAGGGGTCCTACTTGGAGATTAAGTCGAACTATACCTTGCGTGGTTCGAGTGGTCCCGTCATATGCACGAACAGCTGTAGTGAAGAGCAAACCAGGAAGGGTAAAAATGAGACTGCCTAGCTGTACTCAATGTGAAAATCTTCCATTTTGCACCAGTGTCTATCAAGACCCTCTTGATTTTTGGTAGTGGTCTACAAAGGCCTCTACATACAGGGGTCGAGTATGGGGATAGCGAATGTAAAGTCAAAATCATTCTGAGTGAAGGTAATTGGTTGGGGAGAAAATAGACTTCCCGCCATAGCAAACCCTCAGGTGGAATGGAATTAGGGGCGCTTGCTTGTGCTAGCCTTTGCCAGCCCGATGGACTTGTGAAGTGGACAGAAGTTCCATAATCGAGATCTGGGCAGGAAGATTTTCTTCAACTGGTTGGGTCTGTAAGAGATATA